ATATATATATATATATATATATATATATATATATATATATATATATAATCAGCAGAATACTACGAAATTTTATAGGAGAGGTGTCTCATGAGGACCTTTTCGAATTTTGACGACCTCTCTGGCGATTTAAGGGATACCACCGTTATTGCGTAATTAAAACCTGAGGCACTGATTTTCGTTACTCACAATAACAAAATAATAAAAATAATTCTGTAAACAAACAGTGCGAGTAGACAAATGCAAACCCTTTCGATTATAGTACTTGTTTTTTTTTAACCAACTTATCAGCTGAACACTAGAGAGACTCTGAAGGACCATGACAATGGTTACTTTTTACATAACATTAGGCTATCATCCAGATTAGTTACCTCGGGTTATCCACCGTGCTACCGGTATTGGATATCCGGGTGGGGAGTTCTCCTTGTGCCCAGGTTCCATGTGACGGATTGGTTGAACAGTACCCGCAAGGTTTTCCAACATTAAGTAATGTGAAAACTACGTGATTAGCTAATATTTCAAATGATACTATTCAATCGAGCAGTCCATAAGTTAGCTCACTGAAAACATGCATAAACACAAATAATACGACACCCAAACACGTTTAGCCTCAAAAATTGTTTGGTAAATACACATTACTGACACGTTTAAACGCTACCAGGTCAGCTTATATAACGGTTGTGGCCACCCATTGGGTGGTAACAACTCAAAGCGTACATTTTAAAAAACAGTAACTAAAGCCAGCGCACCGGTGTGTACGCTTAATGGTTGTAGAACTACATTCAAACTGATTACATAACAGAGGTATTAATAGAAAACTCATTGAGCACTGCACATCATAAAGTTCAGTCCTTACAACCACTAATCTTGCACCGTCATGTAACCGTNNNGGTCGATTAACCAGAGTAAATCAAATTTTTAAGTCAAGATCAATATCAAAATAAGTACATGGACAACAAGCGAATTAAATCGATGTAGACGAAGGAGTTTCACTTTTTAAGACACTCAATGTATCTGATGTTTCATTGAGTTGGTCACGAGGTCCGAAAACACGAAGTTCAATGTGACCTATCTGACTGAGAGCCCTGGTCGGCGACTTTTGTACCCTGATGACCGATCCTGTTATGACAACCACAACATCAAACGCAATTCAGAAGAAGTGGATGCATTTTTGAATCAAGCATTTATCAGCACTTCCAGTGAATCACGTTTCCAAGACGCACACGTTTAGAAGAGCATCAAATTGTATTCTGTTCGACTGAAACCATTGAGAACTCCCTGTGATGCGGAATGTGAATGGAAAAGGATTTTTTGACGAAAGTCACCGTACGAAGTACTGCACGTTGCACAAGAATAGCGGAGAAGTTTCCGTGGCTGGTGACAAAAGATTGGTCGACAAATATTAGAAACAAACAAAGAAGAATTATCAGGAAGATTTTCGTGGCCTGAACACTGCTCATCCGTCAGAACACAATTCAGCAAGCCGGAGTTAACAAACGCGGTTAAGCTTTAAGGTGAATTCCTGATAAAAAGTCACAATGAACCACCAACAATTTTCTACAACAAAGAGATGGAGGTAGAACAAGTGAACTATCAGGTGTAGTTGGTTTATTTGTCAGAGTTTTCGGTCAACGGGATAAGGTATAGGTGAAGAGGTAACGGTACAACAGTTAATTCGAATACAACGTCCACTGTCTACTTTCCGTGATTGATGAGTGCGATGTGCACATGGATAGTCACTGAGCAAGTCACTGATAAGGGAATGAAATAACAAAATCTGCGAACCGCACGTGGAAACGAATGAAACAGATAAACTATGCGTGTATATATAAATGTGTATGTATACATATATGTGTATATGTATGTTTGAGAGAGAGAGAGAGGAACGAGGCAATGCTGTGTCAATGCTACACGCCACGCGTTGTCCCCGCCTTCAATGATAACAGCTGTCGGTCTACAACGGACACAGTGATGCACAACTGAGCAGCATAGTACGTGGGCAAAATGAGCACAGAGAGCGGTGAGCCACGAGCAAAAAACATGTCCATCGATAAAAGTGCATCCGAAACACCGAAAAGAGTGGCACCGAGTGCTCGTGAGATCGAGGTCCACGGGATTGGATGTCCACCTTTGAACACCTGTGCAGCAGCTCTCCAGATCATCAGACCCAAAATTAGACCGTAAACTGGTCCCACGACATGATATATACCGCTTAGACCGGAAAAACAACACATCCATACGCTCACAATCACAGCAAGAACAATCCAGAGGAGAGACAGAGCTGGCGGATGACAACCGAAAGCAGACACATACAACAAATGTGCCAAAGCGAAGAAAAACATTCCGTGCTTTAGATACACAGGTGACCAGACTAGAAAGGCATCACCAATGCAGGAAAATATGAGACCTAACAGAACTTTTTGTGCGTAAGAGCGTTTCTGGGGTAATCGCATCCCGTACATAAGGACAAATCCGACTAAACAGAGGATAGGCGCGCACTTGAAAATACAATAACCGATTGATGATTCATGTTTTGGGAAAATAACATAGAACAGAGCGAATGTCTTGAAGAACGGAACTAGACGGGGACCCAGAGATTTAATCTGAAATGAGCGAACAAAAAAAGAGGCATCGTAAAACGATTAGTACAATAAATGAAAATCACCTTAGAATGAAGCACATGAATTATATCGAATCATCATCGAATCATAGTAAGGTTTCTTTAATGGAATGGTTCAAACAAATCTATCCGGTGTTGCAAATGTTATTTTGAGGAAAATACATTGCCTGGGTGCAGAAGCATGTGAATGAAAAGACAGGACTACCGGATACGCATGCCTGACGAGCGGCAAGAACCGCGAAACCGACGGTGTGCTTCCAGGGGAGTTTTGTCCAGTCATTCATTTACTACTTATTGTCAAATATATATCTATTTGCAGTGCTTGGGTTAACAGAAAACAAAACCTGATAAGAGGACGCATCGTTTTTCCAGAACGATGGCACTACGTTTTTGTTGTTCGCTACCACAAAATGAAAACTAACGAGTCATGAAAAATAGATTCACCTTCTTCACAGGAATGTACCACAATACGTTCATGAAACATGTCTCAAAAACAACTTACCACGGTCAAGCGACTAATATTTCCGCAATCGGTCATGGTCAGCAATTTCGACAAACGGGATGGAAATTCAAAAGTACCTTGACAAACCTCTCCGGCGGCTGTAAACGACAATGCGACACAATCAGTTAGAAAGTAAACGTACATACTGAACTCAAATAGTAACTGGTCGGAAACAAATTACGCTACTTGCACGAAAGGTATTACGTTTGGACAATAGAGACGGATTGCGATAACCTCGAACTGTGATATTTGAGTGGGATCGTTTCAATTTTCAGACACCGGATATTAAAAAATTTTTAATCTCTTGTGGTGTATAGTTTCACTTCAACCCGTTGATTACGCCGTCCTCAGCAGTGGAAAAATCATTTTCAACCCCACACAGGTCAAACAAACAGATACGGATATTTTTGGACCCCAATCTGGAAGACGGGAGACACCGATTCTACCTAATCCAGCTGTGCATTTCTCCATGCCTCGTTTCCACATCATCTTTTGACCTTCACGTGGTTTTCGCCAGCCCCGAGTGGCTACTGAAAACAAAGCGCGGTGTGTTAGACGACATTTGGGCTTACGTAATACGTGTCAGCCAAACCTATTGGGTCCAATTTGATGCGACACAACCAGAAGTGCCCCCAAAATGTGTATGTACTTCGACAGCATCCCTTTTCAAAGAGAAGAACCCATAAGGGTTTCGCGGTCAACTGAGTCCAAGGCTCCCTTTAGGTCAAGGAACACGACAAGTGTTGTTCGACGGTGTGTTTGGAGTAATTTGACGGCTTGACGCAACATAAAAATTTGGTCGATACAACAGTGAGCTGGTCGGAATCCTGTCTGCTGCTTACGGATATTTATCTGCCGTAAGGACATCAGATGGAGGCCAACACTTTGGAGACGATTGGGATCTAACTGATACCGTGGTGGCTTGTGCAGTCATTGCGAGAACCGTTCTTGAAAATAGGAATGATCAGTGATGCGCTCCAGAATGATAGAAAGCACTCTTGTAACCAGATGTTACAGAGTAAATCAGTAATGGAATCGATAACATCATCGCCTCCACGGTACACAATTAAACTGTGCAAACATACTCCCGACGCAGCCCCCGATTCTTTATGGTGTTCATTAAGACTCTGCAAAAATTATAGGTGTCTAATCAGGTGTTGTGTACCGACCTACCGCATCTTCAGACTCAGCCAATGAAATTTGGTTGCAAACCATTAGGAATGCGCTATCACTAAAGTTCACCCATGCCATCATAATGGGTGACTTTAAGTGCCCCAATCTCATAAGAACGAGGACTTCCCGCCAGCCATTCGAGAGACAATTATCTCAGTTGATTGAATTGCACCCATTGTACAACCACGTAACAGAACCCACCAGATTTGGAGCAGGTCACAAACCATCAACACTGGAATTAGTGCTGACTAACGAGGAGCTGATGGTGGAATCTGTCAAAGTCACGTCTCCATTAGGACGTAGTGATCATGCCGTATTGATGTTTGATTATATAGGCTACGCCTCTATCCAAGAAAACCGAAAGAGCAGTACTCGTGTCATCATAGACTACAAAAAGCTGCAAAACCTGGCAATACTTAAGCAATGATCCTTTGGTGGCATGGAAGAGCTTTACCGATTATCTTACCGAAATTGTAACGGATGCAACAAGTATAAAAACTTGTGCTAAATCTAAAACTCGTCATTTATT